TACTTCCAGTCCACGGGACTCGGTAATTGCTGAAGCTGTCCCGGATCTAGTGCAGAGCAGGGAGGTAAATAGGAGAGAGGTTTTTCCCTGAAGGAGGGTGTTTTTAATCCATGCATTAGGCCAGACACAAGTACTTATCTTTTGCCAATCGAGGGCTGCTTCTCACTGGTTCTGGATTCCAAAGTAGACTCTCTGCTGCTGGGTCTCTCCCGATGTGAGCACCGCTGCTTGCCTCACCATGCATCACAAGCTGATCCAGCGTGACAGTCTCCAGCTCCCGCCAGGTCAGGTCTGGCAACTCCTTGCTGCTTCCAAACTGTCTCTCCCTCCCCCTGCCACTCAGTCCAATTCCTCAACTTTGCCTTTGATGTTCAGGGCTCCTAGATTGTCATATATAATCAATTAACTTATTTTTTTTTGGTATTTAAGAGGGACCACTGGAAGCGCCTGACTACTCTGTCATCTTGGCCCTGCCTCCTCTATATTCTAATTATTGATGTTTGCAGCTGTTTCTTCTCATTTTGAGTCATACCAAATCAGCAAATGAAGGTCCCAAAAGCTTGACATCATCCACGTCAAGATCAACTCTACTTTGAGGAGGCAGCTGTTCCTTGTCATCTTTTGAGTGCCTTCCAACCTGAGGGGCTCATCTTCTGGCACTGTATTAATGTTCCACTGCTATTTATTAGGTTTTCACTGGCTTAATTCTTTTCAGAAGTAGACTACCAGTTTCATCTTCCTAGTGTGTCTTAGTCTGGAAGCTCAGCTAAAACCTGTCCATCGTGTGACCCTGCTGGTATTTGAGTTCCAGTGACATGGTATCCAGCATCACAGCAACACAAAAGCCCCCACAGTATGAAAAATTAAGACACACTTCTTTGTAGTAGTATGGATATTATCCTGTCACTGACAGTGTTGTACTTCAGCATAGATCTTGAAATGTTCTTTTCGACGATGAATGTGACACCATTCCTCTTCAATTTGTCATTCATGTCATAGTAGACTATATGACTGTCAGATTCAAAATGGCCTATACCAGTCCACTTAAGCTCACTAATGCCTAGGATATCCATCTTTATGCATTCCATTTCACTTGTGACAACTTCCAATTTTCCAAGATTAATACTTTGTACATTCCACGTTCTGATTATTAATGGATGTTTATTAATGAGGCAGTGAGATGTTACCATGAAACATATGAAGATAAAAAGGAAAAGACCATAAAAACAACTGTCACTAATTTTCTGACTAGGAACACTATTCCTATTCCCAGGGGTAATCTAAATGACCCAGAACTTTGCACAAGTAGAGTTATTACTGCAGCTGTCAAGAATGTCAACCTTGTCCAACTTTTCACTGTCGGAGTAATTTTTATGATTTGTCTATTTTTTATGTATGTACACACTAAAATGTATCTGTGACTTTATGTGTAAACTTTCCAACCCCTAAAGACAAATACAGGATTTATAAAGATGTGAATTTAAAAAAGGCAATGAGAACTAAAAAAAGAGGTATTCAAGTTGTCAGAACCACCTTCTGATGAAATTATCCAAGGGGAACCCCACTTTAAGTCAGGAACTACCTGTATACACACATGCACATACACATACACACACCCACACACATATACAGACACGCATGTATCTGTAGTTTTGTATCTTTCATTATGTGCCGGAAGATGAAGCCCTCAGGTTGGAAGGCACTCAAAATATGACTAGGGAAGAGGTGCCTCCTCAAACTACAGTCGACCTTAATGACATGGATGGAGTGTATCTTTCAAGACCTTCATTTGCTGAGGTGCCACAACTCAGAATGTGAAGAAACAGCTGCAAACAACCATTAATAACTGGAACAAGGAATGTACAAAGTATAAATCAAGGAAAACTGGAAGTTGTCAAAAATGAAACGGAACGCTTGAAGATTGATATCCTAGGCCCTAGTAAGCTGACATTGACCAGTATTGGCCATTTTGAATTGGACAATCATACAATCTACTATGCTAGAAATGACAAATTGAAGAGAAATGGTGTCGCATTCATTGTCAAAAAGAAAAAGAAAATTCCAAATCTATCCTGAAATACAATGCACCTACAAGGAAGACCAGTTAACATGACTATTATTAAAATTTACGCACCAATCACTAATGCCAAAGATGAAGACACTGAATTGTTTTTTTTTTAACCAATTACTGAAGTCTGAAATTGATCAAGCATGCTATCAAGATGTACTGATAATTACTGGTGACTGAAATGGGAAAGTTGGAAACAAATAAGGATCGGTAGTTAGATAATGTGGCCTTGGTAACAGAAACAATGTCAAGGATTACATGATAGAATTTTGCAAGACCAATGACTTTCACTGGAAATACCTTTTTTTTCCCAACAATATAAACAGTGATTATACACATGGACCTCACTGGATGGAATATACAGGAATTAACTACATCTGTGGAAAGAGTCGATGGGAAAGCTCAGTATCATCAGTCAGAACAAGGCCAGAGGCTGACTGTGGAATGGACCATAAATTGCTCATATGCAAGTTCAAGTTGAAAGTGAAGAAAATTAAAACAAGTCCAGGAAAGCCAAAGGAAGACCTTGACTATATCCCACTTGAATTTAGAGACCATCTCAAGAATAGACTTGATGCACTGAACACTAATGACCAAAGACCAGACAAGTTGTGGAACGACATCAAAGATATCATACATGAAGGTCATTAAAATGACAGAAAACAAAGAAAAGGCCAAAATGGATGTCAGAAGATACTGTGAAATTGGCTCTTGAACATAGAGTAGCTAAAGCAAAAGGAAGAAATAAGCTAAAGAGATGAATAGAAGATTTCAAAGTGCAGCTTGAGAAGACAAAGTATAACAATATGTGCAAAGACCTAGAGTTAGAAAATCAAAAGGGAAGAACATGCTCAGCATTTCTCAAGCTGAAAGAACTGGAGAAAAAATTCAAGCCTCGAGTTGCCATACTCAAGGATTCTATGGGCAAAAAATTAAACGTAGAAAGCATTAAAAGAATATGGAAGGAATACACGGTCATTGTACCAAACAGAATCGGTCAACGTTTAACCATTTCAGGAGGTAGCATATAATCAAGAACCGATGGTACTGAAGGAAAAAGTCCAAGCTGCACTGAAGGCACTGGCAAAAAAAAACAAGGCTCCAGGAATTGATGGAATACCACTTGAAATGTTTCAACATGCGGATGCACCACTGGAAGCGCTTACTTGTGTATGCCAAGAAATTTGGAAGACAGCTATCTGGCCAACTGACTGGAAGAGATTCATATTTGTGTCCATTCCAAAGAAAGGTGATTGTGAGGCTGGTGCAGTGTTTCATTCTGTTATAGAGTTGCTATGAGTTGGAATAGACTTAACAACAAACAACTAAATATCTCTCATAATGATACATCCAAACCCAATCCAGAATGCTCCTTTCTATGTTAGTAACTCCATTACCTAATAGCGAGAAACTTGGCTCCCATTAACCTCAAATATTTACCTATTTGTTAAATCATAAAATATACATAAATGGGTCAGGCGTGGAATCTGAATCCTGTAAATAAAATCATTTTATGTAGCTTTTACTCTCCTGTCTAATTATTTAAAATGTCAAATGAAAGTTAAAAATTGAAAAAATAAGGACATTTAAAATTGTGATCATACAATGGCAGATTTTCTTCCTAATGGTTTTCCTATTTCAATCAACTACCAAAAGAGTACAAGTATCCCTAACTCTCCACACAATAGCCGAGGTTATAAATTTTTACTCATTAAATAATATTTCTTTTGCGTTTTCATCAGAAGAAAAATTCATGTTTCCAAATTTTTCCGATTACCCTTAAGAAAAACTCTACCCTTTAAGCAATACCCATCCATGTCCCCTGCCACCTGTGCTGGTAATCACTTATGTTTTAGACTCTTTTTATGAACATCTGATTACATGGGGATTCATGTTTATCATTCCCCATATAGAAAAGAAATTCTTAAAAATAGTAATATTCATGACTTAAAAACAATAAAAAAACCCAATGACAACCCTGACAGGGAACACAAGAGAGTCCCTGACGGAGCAGGAGAAAAGTGGGGTGAAGAACTCAAATTCACATAAACAGACCAGACTTAATTCTGGACTTAGACTAGAGGAACCCTCGAAGACATGGCTCCCAGACTCTCGGTTAACCCAGAACTAAAACATTCCCAAAGCTCACTCTTTAGACAAGGATTAGACTGGACTATAAAACATAAAATAATACTCGTGAAGAGTGTGCTTCTTAGTTCAAGTAGATACACAAGGCTAAATGGGTAGCTCCTGTCTGGAGTCAGGATGAGAAAGCAGAAAGGGACAGAGCTGGTTGAATTGACACGGGAAACCTGGGTTGGAAAGAGGGAGTGTGTTCTCACATAATAGGGATTGCAACTAGTGTTATATAATGATATGTGTATAAATTTTTGTATGAGAAATTAACTTGAGCTGTAAACTTGCACCTAACGCACACACACACACACACACACACACAAAATCCATTGCCATTGAGTCAATTCAGACTCACAGTTACCCTATAGGACAGAGTAGAATTGCTCCACAGTGTTTTCAAGGAGTAGCTAATGAATTCCAACTGTCAACCTTTTGGTTAGCAGCCTGAGCTCTTAACCACTGAGCATTCATGACTTGAAGATTCAATATTTTCAATGAAGTGAATACTTTCTCAAATGATCTATAGTATCAATGCAAACTCAATAAAAATGCCAGCATTATTTTTTTCTGGATATTGAGATGGTTGATTATAAAAATTATAAAAGATAATTATAATGGAAAATAAAGATAATGGAAAAGATAAGAGCTATAAACAGCCAGGATAATCTGAAAGAACTGGAGACTTCCATTTATAGATATAGTCCATCTATATAGTCCATCAACAATTTGTTAAGGATAGACAAATAAGGGAAGAGAATAGAGATCAAAATATAGAGTAAAAAAAAAAAAAAAGACATTTCAATTTGATGTGTGAAAACACTGAAGCAGGGAGGGGAAAGAGGTCCTTATGTTGTTCTGGATCAACAGAATATCCATACGGGAAAAAATATTGATCACTATCTGACAATTACAAAAATATTAAATCCAGAAATACTGCAGGTTTAAACTTGAAACGTCAAACAATGATACTTTTAGGAAAGAAGCATAAGAGAACTTTGTTTCCTTGGAAGAGGAAAAACTTCTTAAGGAAGACCAAGAAAATCACAAACTATGGGGAAAAAAAAAAAAACTACGAAAGACTGGAGTATTTTGAAGTGAAGAACCTAAGTTCATCAAAACGCACCTTTAACAGAGTGAAAAGGCAAAAGTGAGAGACTTAAAAAACATGTATGACACAAAAGATTCATCTGCAGAATATAAATCCTCCAATCATTATGAAAAAGACAGGCAACACAAACATGGGCACAATACAGAATAAACATTTCAGAAAAGAGGAAGTAGCCAATTATCAATGAAGATACTAAACTCTATTAGACATAACAAAAATGCAAATTAAATTAGTATGCGAAAGCACTACATTCCGACCAGAAGGCTAAAATTTAAGAAAGTGAAAACAAATGTTGGCAAAGATGCCAACACTTGCATACCACTGGTAAAAAAGTGAATTGGTATAACTACTTTGAAATACTACTTGCAAGTATCTACTAAAATTGACCAAATTCATACATTAGAACCTCTTGGTTCCACCCATTGATATATTACTCAAATAAATGTATCATACATTCAACAAATGTATGAATGGAAAAAAAAAATCAGAAAACTTATCCTTAAAATCCTGTTCCTCTAAATCTACTTCTGGTACCAAAACCTCTATCAGTTAGTGTTCAAGCAGAGAAACAGAACCAGTAAGAGATATACATTAAGATTTATTGCAAGGAACTGGCTTACTTGATTGTGGGGGCTGACTCAAAATACACAGGGCAGGTGATCAAGAAGGCAAGCTGGACTCTCAGGTGTGAGCTGAAGCTAGTATCCACAGAATTCCTATCTTCAAAGAAGCCTCAACTGTGCTCTCAAGGCCTTTTAACTGATTGAGTCAGGTACACCCAGAGTATCTAGGATAATCTCCTTGATTTAAACTCAACTGATTATGTGCTCTCATCCCATCAACAAAATATTTCAGAGCAACACCTAGATTCCTGTTTGACTGAATAACTGGGAACAACGGACAAGGCAGAACCTCTCCCTAGAACCACACCCTGAATTTGAACATTTTGCCTCCAGAACTGTGAGAAAATAAATTTGTCCTTTAAAGATACCCACCTGTGGTATTTGTTACGACAGCACTAGGTAACCAAGACACTGAGTAAGCCCTTTAATCAAATACACTTAAAATATCCCTGTAGTGTCTAAGGAGTATAGAATGGCACCTAAACCTGCTTTGTCCCTGCTGGTTCCACATTCTGAGAGAGTCCACTACTGTCGTGCTATATTGCCTCCCTAAATGCATCTTTTCCTCAGGGAATCTTTATTTTTTTTTTTACCTCCACAACACATGTATACTCACTTTGTTCTTATCTCCAGGATTTGCCCTCTCCGTTATGGATTTATGATTAAAGAAGTGTCACAGGCATTAACTGCAAACATATAGGTGCTCACATTCATTAATTTATCTATGTATTCAAACAACCAGAGAATTTTTTTTTTTAATTGATTTCTGGGGTCTTATTAAAATTTTAGATGCTATATAATATACAGCAATCATATTATGTGTCCTAATTATAAAGGATTGATATTAATACTTTTTCAAATTCTATTGTACATGATTGCCTCATTTGGTAATGCTAATGTTCATTGAAATTTTAAAATGTAATTTATGAAATAATAAAATCCCACAAAACACTTCTTGCCAGAGAAAACCACTAAGGGTGAGGACTCCCTTAAAAATTATCTTACGTATGTGCACACATGCACACACATTTGTGTGTGACACTATGAAAGCTACAATGCATCATCTTCTAACATTCATATATTATCCTGTAAATATGTCTATGCCATCATTTCAATGGCGTCATACTATTACAAGAATGTATCAAAACTAAAATTCCTGTAAATGAATGCTTGCTACTTCCATTTGAAAAATTTCAGTCACATCACTGATGTGCTAAACATTTTTCTGTATTTTAATCTCATAGCTGTATGATCTCCAAATTAAAGAAAAGCATTATTACACATCTAAAAATACACCCTTTTCAAGAAATCATACATTACTACAATACAGAAAAGTATAAATATCAGTTCTGTCCCCATAATGAATACATTTGATACAATTATCAAATTCTTATACTTTTTTTGGTATTTGTTTTATGGGTGTGGGGGAAGAATATGCAGTAGGGAACTTGCCAGTATTAATGTCCTTCAAATATGGCATAGCGTCTACCTCAGCTGTTTTGGTTGGGAAAAAAAAAAAAAGATGCTACAGCAATTAGAAAGCAACCATATCAAAGCCTTGGTTGAAATGCAGAAAACCAGATATCAATGATCAATTCAAAGTTGACTAAAACATTTTTTGGTCATTGGTAACTATTTCTGATACTTTCAAAGTGTTATGATAAATCCTTGCTTTAAGAACACTGAAAACCAATTCAATTGTTTAATATGCAATAACTTGTAGCAAAGTTAACAAACTTTTTCAGTCTCCATTGTCAGAAAAATCGTAAAAGATAGTGAAATTTGTAGTGTTACAACTGATAGAACAGTAGACAGACCCACAAATAATAAGATCCAAGTTGAAAACAGAGGCTGTGGGGAGGACAGGAGTCAACTGCAATAAGTTAACACCCTGTTAATATTGCAGACTGCAGTACTGAGTGGTTTTCCACATTTAAACTAATGTTTGTTCTTTGAAATATTCATTTTTGCAAGTTTCCTCTTCTGGATAAAAATTTTCAAATATTCTACATTTTCTCTTTTTGATTCATTAACAAACAAGTATTGAGCATACCTACAAAGTGTAGTCAATCCTAAGGTTGTACTGATGCTGCAGCAAAGTTCCTGCCCTCATGGAGCTTACATTCCAGTGGACATCAATTTTGGCATGCACATCGTTACGCTTTTGTTAAAGGCCAGATCAAACTCTTATTCTTTCCAAGGCCTGTCTCTTGAGTGATACATAATAAATGCCAAGGATCTGACTGAAGCCCTTCCTGCACCACTTCAAAATGTTCTCTGCTGTGTGGTGTGTTGACCTCTGGCTATGTTGCACTATGGGTGAAATACAGATATAAATAAATGTTTTCTCTCCTGAGACATGATGATTAGAAGAATTCAGGTTGCAAATTAAATTCTTAGAAAACATCACTTTGTAGAACTTCTTTCGTGTGATGCTTCTCTAATGTTCTTACCACTATTATCACTTTCAGAAATTTTATCACCAGCATGGGTTTTGTGATGACTTACAAGATTTGATCTCCAACTGAAGCTCTTACCACATACCTCACATTTGTAAGGTTTCTCTCCTGTGTGAACTCGCTGATGATACTGAAGTTGTGAAGATCGACTGAAGACTTTATCACACGTATCACATCTGTACGGTTTCTCTCCAGTGTGGACACTCTGATGAAGTTGAAGACTTGAGGCCTGACTGAAGTACTTACCACACTCCTCACACTTATAAGGTTTCTCTCCTGTGTGGACCCTCTGATGCATGTCAAGATTCAAGCTCCACTTGAAGCCCTTTCCACACTCTCCACATTTATATGGCTTTTCTCCATTATGCACTTTTTGATGGGCTTCAAGGTGTGAATTCCGACTGAAGTTCTTTCCACACACTTCACATCTGAATGGTTTTTCTCCACTGTGGATCCTCTGATGGGTCAGAAGATGTGATGCCTGACTGAAGCCCTTTCCACACTCTTCACAATTATAGGGTTTCTCTCCTGTGTGGATTCTACAATGAATTTTAAGATCTGCTCTGCGACTGAAGCCTTTCCCACACTCTTCACATTTGTACGGTTTCTCACCAGTATGGATCAGCTGGTGAACTTGAAGGCGTGTACTCTGATTGAAGCCTTGCCCACACTCCTCACATTTATAAGGTTTCTCTACGCTGTGGCCCTTCTGATGGATTTTCAGATACGAACGCTGGCGGAAACCCTTCCCACACACGTCACATTTATAGGGCTTTTCTCCTGTGTGGACTACCAAATGAACTTGATAATGAATTTTCATCCTGAAGCTCTTCCCACACTCCTCACATTTGTATGGTTTCTCTCCAGTGTGGATGCCTTGGTGGGCTTGAAAACTTGAATTGTAAATGAAGCCCTTCCCACACACCTTACATATGTATGGTTTCTCTCCAGTGTGGATTCTCTGATGGGCTTGAAATTGGGAAGGCTGAATGAAGCTCTTACCACATTCCTCACACTTATAAGGCTTCTCTCCAGTGTGAACCCTCTGATGAATACAAAGATTTGAACTACAAGTGAAGCCTTTCCCACACTCCTCACATCTGTATGGTTTCTCTCCTGTATGGACCATGCAGTGAGTATTAAGTGCTGATCTACGACGGAAATTCTTACCACATACATCACATTTGAATGGTTTCTCCCCAGTGTGGATTCTCTGATGTTCCTGAAGATGCGAGGCATGAATGAAACCCCTTCCACATTCTTCACAATTGTAAGGTTTCTCTCCTGTGTGGACTTTGCAATGTACAGTAAGTGCTGATTTACGACTGAAGCCTTTCCCGCATTCCTCACATTTGTGTGGTTTCTCTACAGTGTGGACTTTCTGATGAGTCTGCAGATGTGGTTTCTGACTAAATTTCTTCCCACACTCATCACACTTATAGCAGTTCTCTCCCATGTGAACTCTATGATGATTACGAAGACCTGAGCTATAACGGAAGCTTTTTCCACACTGAGAACATACGTGAGACGTCTCTCTTGAGTGTAACTGCTGAGGAAGATCAAAGCTGGAGGCATCACTGAAGGTTTCTGTACATTCATTATACTGATAAAGTTTCTCTGATTTGTGAATAATAGATAGTCCTGCCCCAACCTGGAAGGCTGAATCACCCTGTTTGTGGAACTGAGAACTGTTTATCATGGAGTCTTGACACCTGGTTAAGTCACTTGCAATTTGTTGCCAGATTTGCCAGCAGAAAAGTTCCTCCTGTTGCCTTGTTTGTGAAGTAGTCTCCATCTCCTTTGGGAACTTGCCTCCTGAAAGGACAGAGAATTTAGAGATACAGATAGGTTTAAGTTTTCAAGATTGCACATTTAGAACAGGGTGCGAGACTTTAATGAATCCAGAGGAGGTTTAGTTTATCATTTCCACTGCGTATCATGTTCTATAGTATACATGCCAACAAAAAGGAAGAGGAAGTCCAGTGGACTCCTAAACAGTAGCATTAACAAGATCAATTAAAAAAACAAAACAAAACAAAAAACCCCATTGCCTTCAAGTTGATTTAGACTCATGGTGACCCCATGCGTTATAAAGTGCTCCACAGGGTTTTCTTGAGTATAATCTTTATGACAGATTGCCAGGCATTTCTTCCACAGCACTATTGGGTGGTTCAAGCCACTAACCTTTAGGTTAGTAGGTGAGTGCAAAATGAGACCCATTAGACCATATCAAATCAACTATGTGAGGCACAATTTAGAAATCAAAGACTTAATTTAAAAAAATTTTAATATGATATAAATTATTAATCTGTTGCTATTTCTATTCAATTTCAAAGCCAGTATAGAATCTTCAGTAATAAATTATAGCTATAAAAATTATGTTGATAATGAAAATGAATCAATAAGAACTTTAAGGAAAAGGTATGACACAATCAAAAGTTAACCTATTTTCGTTTGTTATACAGCCTAAATATCACACAGCTATGTTTAATCTGCACAATATGTACACAGAATCTTATTTTTCTGTGTTGATATGGACAATAAATTAGTTGACAATTATTACAAATTGTTGACTACCTCTAAAATAATTTGTTTAGAAATGTAGTTTCCAAAATGTTTACGCTTACTAGTACTCCAAAGTTTCTAAATTTATACAAAGACATCTAAGCCTATAGAGATTTTCTTTTTTTTTCATTAAACTTCTCAATTAAATGTTAAAAAGTATTTGTAAGGAAATTTTTACGGAGGAGAATTTCACTTCTCTCCCTGTAGGAATAGTCAATTAAAAGCTGTCTCATCTGGTTTAGCAAACATTTAATCAGTTCATGTATAATTCTATTTATAGTTGTTTTATAGGAAAATTACTCCAGTGTCTAGGGAACTGAGAGGCTCTGGAATAGTTGCGATGACTTGCAAGTTTGGGAGAAAAATGCATTATCCCTTACTAAAACACAGCATATAAGTATAGAGAGAACTCCTTTAAATCCTGCTGAGAAGATTCCCCCATGAGGACGATGGGAAAAGAAAGTTGAAATGATGACATACACTATTCTGAAACCTGACAGATGTTCAATCTCCAGGAAAAAAAGTGAACCAGTGAGCAATCTTTGACAACAGAGACAGAGCTGGGGAGAAGGAATGGAACAGGGCACAGTGTAATTTTCTGAATGTCACTCCTACAAAGGGAGGTACATTCTGCCTGGAATGTTATCCAGGTAAGATACTTGCACGAATGGTTCCATACTTTTTTGAGGTCTTTGCTCAAGTGTCAGTCCATCAATGAGTTCAATGAAAAATAATAAACCCTGTCCGCAGTCAATTCACCTCTGGCAATTTCCATCCCCCTGACTCTATCTGGAGCCCTGGTGGCACAGTGGTTAAGAGCTTGGCAGCTAACCAAAAGGTCGGCAGTTCAAATCCACCATTCGCTCCTTGGAAACCCTACGAGGCAGTTCTACTCTGTCCTATAGGGTCACTATGAGTCGGAATCGACTCAATAGTAATGAGTTTGGTTCTTTGGGTTTGACTCTGTTTATACTGTACATAGTACTTATTACCATCTGTATGCTATCTAGGTAATTTTTGCTTACTGTATGTCTTTCTGACAACACTGAGGTCCCCTTGGGCACTACGCTTATTCATTAAGTCAACAAATATGTCCAGATATCTGCCATGTACCAGGACAATTCTAGGCCCTGAAGAGACAACAATAAAAAAGACAAAATTCTTTCATTCCTGGAGATACTATTCCAGTGGGAGAGAGAGATGACAAGCAAATAAACAAAAAATATGTATGTTAGGGCAAGGAGAACATAGAAAGGATGCTATATTAAATAGGGTCAGAGAAGGCCACTCTTGCGATATCAAAACTGAGCATTGACCTGAATGAAGTAAAGAAGTGGGCCAGGAAGATTTTAGGTGAAAGTGTTCCAGGCAGAGAGAAGAGCAAGTAAAGGTGCCTGAGGCAGATTCTGCATCTAATCGGAAGAATAATGATACCCAAGACATTTCCAAATCCTAATTCTGGGAACTGAGAATATGTTAGATTATGTGGCAAATGGAAATTAAGGTTGCAAATCAGCTAACACTAAAATAGGAAGACTATCCTTCATTATCTGGTGGACCCAATGTATTGAAAAGGGTCCCTAAAAGTGGACGAGCCAGCAGGAAAGTTAGAGAGAAAAGTGACTACAGAAGAATGATCAGAGTGATGCAATGTTGTGGGCTTTGCAAAAGCAGGATGGGGTCCACAATCTGAGGAATTTGGCAGCCTCTAGAAGCTGGAAATGGCAAGGAAATGACTTCTCCCCTAGAGTCTCCAGAAAGGAATACATACTGGCCAACATCTTGATTTTAGCAAAATGAGACCCACGTTGGACTTCTGACCTACAGAACTGTAAGACAAACAATCTGTGTTGTTTAAGTCACCAAATTTGCAGTTTTTTTTAATAAAAGCAATAGGAGACTAAGAGAACATCCTTGGCATGTCTGAAAAACAAGGAGGGCAATTAGCAAGAAGACAGGTGGTATATTAAGACAGGAAGTAGGGACCAAAGACCAGATCATGTAGGACCCTATGAAGCTACTCTGATCATTTCTACTGTGTTTTATTTCATAAAAAATTGTTAGTAGGAGAGTCCATTCCCCAAATTCAGGTGACCATTCCAGGAGCCCCAAAGTCTTGAGCTCTTGAGATAAAGAAACTCCAGATGGAGGCTGTCCTCACCCAAAGAGACCAGGTTCCTGAAGTTCTCCAGCATCACTTCTCGGTACAGCTTCCTCTGGAAGGAATTCAGCAACTCCAGCTCTTCCTCATTGAAGACAACGGCCACATCCTTGAATGTCACTGATTTCTAAAACATTAAGCACACATACAAAGTGTTACAACTATCATCCACTTGAAAAGAGGCAGCACTGACAAGATTGAGAGGATGGGGAGAGGGGGAATTGTATGGGATTTTGACAGACATGGGTCAATTTGCAGATTTCTCAGCTTTTCCTCTACCTTGCCAATGCCATACATTGATTTTCCTTAGCTTCACTGAAAGTGAGGTAATAAATGAAAGCCCTTGTACTTTTACTTGGTGTCCTTAGATTATAATTAAGTAAACCCCTAGAACTCTATATATGTTGTATGCTGATGCTAGGACACATTTTACTTTCTGACTCATACTGGAAACTACCCTATAAAGTTTACCAATTTAATTTCAACAGAATTTGACAGCACCCACCTCCTTCCTCTCTCTCTCTTCTATATACACACATGGCACTTGTAACAGCATGTGGCACAGAATAAGTGCTTATAAACCTCAGCTATTACTGTTATTATTATTGTAACTTACCTATTTCATAGCTGTACAATATTCCAGGTGTGAATTAAAGAATTTGGCTGGACTTTGTCCCTGGTTCCTGGTAGGCAGAGTGTCTTTATTATTCCTGGTGGTCTCCTGGGACAATACCTGGTAGTTTATGCTAACATGATGACTGATGATGGGGGATGGTCATACCAGGAAGATCAACCATATGATCAGAGGTTTGGAGCTTTGAGACACATGATACCAAGGAACAGGAGATTGAGTTCAATCATGGGGTCCTGATTGAACCAATCATGCCTATAATGATATCCCAATAAAAACTCTGGATACCAAAGCTCAGGTTAGCTTCCCTGGCTGACAATATGCTGCATACTGTCACACACTGATGTGCCAGGAAGGTGATGTGTCTTTGAAAAGAATGGAAGCTTTGTGTTTAGGACTGTAAAACGGGACTAGCAGTAATAGTAGTACCGTCAGAACCTGCCTAACTTCAGGGGGGATAACGCAAATCAAGATCAGCCCAAGGCCAATCCCTATGAGGTGGAGGTCAGACGCAGCTCCGCTCTCCAACCGTTATACCAACTCTAACACCAGCTATCCCTCCCCCGGCACTCTCTACTTCTCTGCTGTGTTCGCTAATCTGTTGCAATGGCCACACAGAACTCACAGATCATATTTAAAGTTATGCGGTTTATGAAGGAACAGGGTACAACTCGGGATCAGGATCAACAGGCTACAATACAGGAGCAGGAAGCATGTAGGCAAAGTCTCCCTTCTTCAGTGCGGACAACTCTCAGCTTCTCTTAACTGACTGTGCAGGCCTCCTCTTAGCCGCTGAGGACAGGCTACTCTTGGCCCTGCCATCTGTCACCACCAGCTCTGCTGCTGAGCCCCTTCTGGGCCTGTTGCTGCTGGCTCTGCCTCTGGGCACCTTCTGAGCCTGTAGCTGTCTTTAGTGTTACATCCCTTGACTGTTATGGCCCTTTTAGGAGGTTCTTGCCTCTTCTCTCTCTCGCTTCTTTCTGCTTATCTTCCTGCTTCTTTCTGTCTCCCCTGCTTCCTTCTGCTTCTTCCTGCTTCCTGTTTGCCTGCTTCTTTTTGTGTACTAAACCTCTGTGGGGCTGGCTGCTTAAATACACAAACTCCTGGTCCATTTCAAGAAAGGGCACTCCCATCAGGGCCACAAACTGACCAATCCCCTCTAAGTAGGCCACAGACACTGCATTTGCATAGCAGGCGTAGCTGGGCTACAACTCACCTCATCTGCATAGTCTATTAACCAATCAGTGCAAGGTGTATACCAATCACAGGGCAGGCTGCAGCCCAGGACCAGATAAAAAGCATCAAACCAAGCTATTTACAGCTTACTCAGGAAATGTCAATCAACCTGGACAAAAGTAACCCTCTGGGATGGAAAACTAGGGCAAAGGTAACTCCTCAGGGCTTAGGGGAAAAATCCCTCAAGCTGTTTTTCCAAAGAACCAAGGCAAAAGGCCACATAAAGGAACTCATTTCATCACCTGGACCCTCCAAGACCTAGCCCTATGCATCTCTCCCTTTGGCTAGTTTTGATTTATAACCTTTTGATATAATAAAAATGTATTTTAAGTATAGTCTTTCTTACACTCTGTGAGATGTTTCAGCAAATTATTGAACCAGATGGAGTACTGACATCCCTGAATTTAGAGTCAGCTGGTCAAAAGTGAGGGTGGTGCTAAGCTCGGAGCAGATGTCTGCAGTGAGGACAGTCTTGTGGAGAGCTGTGGCCTTACCTGTGATGTTTGAAGGCATTTGCACCATGGTACTGATGATCTGTATTTATCAGTTCTAAAAATTTACATTTAATTTTAAATATTTTTCTAATTATAACCCGTCCTAAAAAGAACATCTTTTTATGTACATCTTCCTCCCTTGTCTGATTTAAAATGAAAATTAAAATGTCAATAAGCATATTTAAACTTATGATCAAATGCCAGATTTTCTTCCTCCTTCACTCATCTTCAAGCAGAAGTAACCCTAACTCTTCATAAAATGGCAGTTTGTAAATTTTTACTTCATTTTGATCACCTGACTAAAAAAAAGAAAAAAAACTCATTTTTAGAATTCTCACTTATTCAATTATAAATAAACATGTTTATTGGTTATTTCTATTTCTCCTTTTTACCTTGTCTGTTCATGATCTTTGCTGTATTTCTACTGATATTTTCCTTTATCCTGTGACTCTAATGGAAACCTTGGCGGCACAGTGGTTAAGAGCTACAGCTGCTAACCAAAGGTCGGCAGTTCGAATCCATCAGGCGCACCTTGGAAATCCTATGGGGCAGTTCTACTCTGTCCTATAGGGTCACAATGAGTCGGAACTGACTCGACGGTAACAGTTGTTGTTTGTGACTCTAATAGTTCTACACTAAATGTTATGTCTTTTTCTAGCATATATATTGTAAATACTTCCACCAAAGTAGTTATTTGTTCTTGTAACACTGTATAAGTATCTTTTGCCAAGGAAGAATTTAAAAATTTTATAACACCACTGGGCTAATCACTGTATTCATATGGCTGGAGCTCTGACCACTGCAGTGCACTTGAAGAGGAGGTCACTGGGAAGAGAAGAGGTGCAGAGAAGAGGAGCCAGGAGAGGAGCAGCATCACCTCTGGAAATCATCACTCAGGACAACACTCCAGGCACCCACACTACTGGTGTATGGGTCTCTTTCCTCACGTCTCTCTCTTTCACTCTAACAGGATGCCTAACACTCCTGTTTCTTGATTTCCTGTGGGAACCTTAACAGGCTTCTCATATTTCACGTCTTTAAAATGAAGAGACCAAGCACCTCCTCAATGAGGAGTAGATGTAGTGACAGAATGCAAATGCTTGGCAAATCTTCTAGTATTATCCTGGGATGATTTAAACTAAGGTTATGTATTGCTTTCATAAAAGTAATTAATACATGAAGAAGAAAAAAAACAAACAGTAAAACACAAACAGAGAATGGCTCTAGCATGGTAACACAGAATCTAGCTCTTCCTACATGATAACATCCAACAATATTGGCCCTGTTGCACTGTGGCATATTTGAATATTCTACCAAACACCCAATGTACCAAATGTCAAATGAACCTTTTCAATATTGAGCTACCAGTACACCATAGAGAAGGAGCACTTTTTCAGAATTGATTTCTAGGAGAAAATGTTTTATGCAAGAAAACTATCACTGTAGTGTTGTTTAAAACAGTAAAATTCAGAAAGCAAATAAATTTTTATGAGTTAAAAGTGGTTAAAAATAAAAGATGCAACAATTCAATTGGAAAATGATATTAACTATAACAAATGAATGCTTTATATTAAATTAAAAAAGCACAATTTAAAATTAGGTGTATATCATGAATACAAATATAGTTATAAAGGTATATTAGGAAAAAGTGTTAGAAAATAAACATAGTTAGATTAGCAAGCAAAGAAGTAGTAAAGTAGGAGAACTGTTCATTCCTAGTCATTCTTTTACTTTTGAAAGAAAAAGAAAAGATAAAAATAAAACAAAAACTAAAAATAAATCCAAAGTAAACCAAAAACAGACAAAGCAAGCACACAGAAGGTCCTCAAATGTCTACTGTTCTCCTTGAGGCTTTACAAGAATGAGAAAACCAAGTGTCCAATCTGCGTAATGAGAAGAATTTTAAGAGCAAAAAGGTAAGCCCACTCACCATAAATGTGCTCATTTTTCTTCCTACTTCTGGTGATATACAGAGTCCTGAGATACACAGAGTCCTGGGAAGGCCAAACTGAGGAAGGAGAAAGAAGACATAAAAAGGTGGCTAGGGATGTCACTCACCTTCATGGATGTTTACTGCGAATTAGCCAAGGGATCAGTTTCTCGTGGTGGCTACAGATGCACACAGCTTGATAAGTAGATCATGGCATGGAGACCAGATGCCCTTTACCCCTTTCAGTGTGATTCAGGGAACAATGTACACAACTACACACACTGGCCTCATCACCAGAGTTGCCTTGTGGTTCCCAAGGTGGCAATTCAGATTCTGGTATAATAAAAATTGAGATAATATAATGTACCAAGCAAGAGTTAGCTCTAGGACCAGTATACATGTGGGTTCAAATCCTAGCACAGCTTTACACAAGCTGTGTCATCTTGGGCAAATTAATAATGTCTCTTTGCCTCAATTCTGTCATCTGTAAAACAGGGAGTATAAGAGCCCCTCCTGATGGGACTGCTGTGAGGTGGAAGTATTAGAATACTTTCAGGGTTTTTGTTTTCTTGTAGCTACAGAAAAGCACGTAATACTCTGTGGTATGCGATTATTCTTATAAATGTAATTTCAACCAAAGGAACATGGTAAGATATGAAGACTTCTGATGTGATTTGTCTATTGAGTAAAGGTCACATGTGATCCCAGAAAAGTCTTTTAAACTAGCTTGGCTATCTTCCCTAATAAAATGTTGCCTTAATTATAATATTTAAATTGGCATGCACAACCATTTTCTATAAGGTGTGAGAACAAGTGCACTTCCGGTGTTAAGCAGAAAGGTCCAAAATAGGCCTTTTTACCAACATAGAGGTAAAAGGTGTAATGCAAGTGCCTGACAAATCTTCTGGTATCCCTGAACATTTTACACAAAGATTCTGTGTACAGGTTGATAAAACTAATTAAAGAAAACATGAAGGATAAAACCTGATCAACATGAGTGGAGAAGAGAAAAATATTTTTAGTTTTTATTAAAACAATACAAGATTCTGCAAAAAAATAATTTGAAAAAAAAGAAAAAAGCCTCTTTAGAAATGTTTAGCAGTTTCTCAAAAAGTTAAACATCGAACTACCACTTGACCTAGCATTTCCAAGCCTAGGTATTTACTCAGGAAAAATGAAAACACATGTCCACACAAAGACTTACCTGTATAAAAACTTGCATGTGTATGCTCATAGCAGAATTCTTCATAAAAGCCTCAAACCAGAAACAATCTAAATGTTCACCTGAATGGACAAAGCGTGGCCTATCCATACAATGGAAAAATAGTTTTGTAATACAAAGGAAAAAAATACGTCCATGCTACAACATGGATGAACCTTGAAACCATACTAAGTGAAAAAAGGCAGTCAACAAAGAGTACATATTATATGATTCTATCTATATGAAATTCCTACAAAAGGAAAGTCTACAGATACAGAAAGTAAGTTAGCGGCTATATGAGGCCTGAGGTGAGAATGGGGATTAACTGACAATGGGCATGAGGGATCTTACTGGAGACACCAATACATTCTCAAACTGATTTATGGTGATGGTTGCACCACTCAGTAAAGTTACTAAAAATCATTGAATTGTACACCTGAAATGGGTGGATTCTACAACATGTATATTTCAATGAAGCTGGTAAAAAGAATAATTTGATTACCTACATCACTTTAAGATTAACAAGACTGAATTCTGAGTCCATATTGAAAGAAAATTTATATTTGAATGAATACGGGAGAAGAGGAAGCTGATCTTAACAGAATGACTACTAATAGTAACATTACCATGGAGAAATCTGACAGATGTCACTTTAGCTAAGTGAAGAAAGTGAGATCACCAATACTGGGACAAACCAGCATCACTGGACTCCTAATATGCTGCACTGAAAAGGATACATCATAACTTCTGTGTATCCATACTGATAATGCATAATCTGAATCAAACCATCAAAAATACCAGATAAACCTCAAATGAAGGCCTTTCTCTAAAATACCTTGCCCATACTCTTCAAAAACATCAAGAACAAAAGAGACAATGAAAGGCTGAGGAATCTTTCCAGATTATAGAAGACTATATACAAACATGACAACTACTAAAGGCAATGCACAAACTGGACCCTGAACTCGGGGTAGGGGGAGCACTTTCATAAAAGACTTTTTAGGAAGAAAAGAACACATTTAAATGTGGACTGCAGATTAGCGATTAGGATGTTATCTACTATTATATAATAGATAAAATCATTAACTACTATTATCTAATAAAACATCTGAAAGCATCTAATATGCTATGCTAAAACCCTATTAACCCATCCCTCCTAACTGCCTCTTACCAAGACACCCCATGATTTCCCGACATGTGGGCTTTCTTCCTGCAGAAATTTAAAGTAACCTGTCTTTGATTACAGGCATATTTCCTTTTATTTTTATTTTTGTAGTTTAAATGAAGTTTACATTTCAAGTTAGTCTCCTATACAAAAATTTATACATAGTTATGTGACTCTAATTGCTCTCCTCATACTGCGACAGCACACTCCTCCTTTCCACCCGGTTCCCCATGTCCATTCAACCAGCTCCTAACCCTCTCTGCCTTCCCATTTCACCTCCAGACAGAAGCTGCCCGTTTAGTCTCTTGTATCTACTGGAGCTAAGAGGTACACTCCTCACTAGCATCACTTTATGTCCCACAGTCTACTCCAATCCCTGTCTGAAGAGTTGGCCTCGGAAATTCTTCTAGTTCTGGGCTGATAGAGAATCCAGGGGCCATGCTTTCCTGGGTTCCTC